CTTTTTGTACCGTCGAACTTATTACGCTAAAATATTCTATCCTTTTCGAACTTATCACGCTGCAAAATTTGATGCTTGTCGAACTTCCAAACTTGACTGACCAAAAAATTTGATCATTTTCGAACGTTCGAACTTCTTGCACTAAAAAGTTGGAAGCTTTTCGAATTTCCTATGCTAAGGAATTCAATAATTTTCTAAGTTTCGAACTTATTTATCAAGAGAATTGAAAAAGTTTCGAACTTTCGAATCCTGAAAAGTCAGAAGTTTGACGAACTTCGAACTTTTAGGGTAAAAGTTCGACCTTCGTCGAACCTTGAAAGACCGGTTGACGACTTCATTTGAATTCAAGTAGTGAGGTACATTCGTAACTTTTTTTCTCGAACTTTTACATGCGGTGCTGCGTTCCTTACGAAAGACAATGCCGTTTATTTCAACGTTCTGGCATGCTTAGTTTTAAAGAAATAAATTCCCGAAGGGGCGAGGAAGGACGACGGGTTTTTGACGATTATCTTTTGTGCCAGATTTGAAGTGCGCTGTAGCCAAAGCTATTCATGGTAGAGATGTTAAACGTTTTACGAATGATCTACGTGTAGCCTAGATAAGTGTCGTCTTAAGATGTGATTATTGTTATTCAAGGTGAGTTTCGAAGAAATGTCCAAACATGTATCTACATGCAATTATGCCCTAAACTTGGCATTTATTTTCGTCTAAATTGTTTGAGGTATCGCATTTGAATTAACACCACAGACAGTACATATCATTGCCATCTGCAGAATACAAAATAATGTATTTATTGTTTTTTCATGTTAAGGAATAAATTAACTCATGGGAGAAGATTTCTTATATTCCTCAAGTTCAGCATGTCATTAAAAGAAAACATTTTTTTTTCGCTTCAAGTTCCTGGGACGTGTTTCTTTTAGCCTGTACACATTTTGGTAGGAGAAACTTGTTTCGAAGTTCTGAACTTCTGAATATGCAAGAATACAACACTTCCGGCAAATTCTTGATAGTTTTTTTTTCTCCAGATTTTTCTCCCCGCATTTAATAATGTTTTTTTTTACTATTGGCACAGTTATTTAGGTCGAAAAAACATAGCTTTGAACTTCCGAACCACTAAGCATGTGACGAGTAGTGCCTTCTGACAATTAGTTTCTAACAATGACCATCTACGCATTCTTTTATGCAGTGAAGAGCAACAATAGCTATTTATATGCATAAATAATTTCAGATTAAAATATGGTTCGACCAGCCCTCTTTCCCCGTATTGTTTTCCTTACAGAAGGGGGGAAAGGGGGGCTGAAACTCCCCCTCCCCTTCCCCCCCCCCCCCCTCCCCCCGGCCCGTTTTTCCTCTCCGACGCCACTTGTATGGTCGAACGCTCCTCGACCTCGAGTTGTGTAGGGTTCTGTGCTTTTTGCGAGGCGATTCCTCCGTCCCAGAAAACAAACCTCCAGGACAATTACAAACTTAACTTACTATATGCCAGCGTCACTCGGGCGGCGTTGATCGGATTACTACCAGCGTTCAAGGGATGGGGAGGTAGTTTGCCAGGTCACTTCAAGGCTTTTCTGAGCGCCAACCTCCTGCCCTGGATGAGTATCATAATACAGTGTGTTTGTGTGATCACTACTGCGTGATGCAGGTTAAAGACCCCCCCCCCCCCCAACCCCCCCGGGTCGGCAGTCACAGTTACTGATCTATGGCCACACGTCACCCTGCACTGGCAAATTCTGGGACACTCGTCATCTCCTTTAATTGCCTGACCAACTTCGCAGTCTTGATATCGCACCCTAACTTCTGTAAACTTGATTTCATGAAAACCAGTGAGTCGTGGAAACGTTATTTGAAATTGAAACTGTGGAGGAACTTGAAAACCGGACTTCGAACTTTGAAAACTTAGACTTGAATAAAATTCAAAATCTTCGAAGTTTTTTTTTTTCTTCCGAATTTAGCGTTAAAAAAGAATTGAAACCTTCAAACTTTATGCAGAAAGAAATTGAAATCTTAGAATTGTTCGAACTTCATGTTTATAAAAATTCGAAGCTTTCAAAGTTTTCGAATTTTATTTCCAAGGAATTTCGAAATCTTCGATTTTTTCGAACTTCAGATCCCAAGAAATTCAAATTTTTCAAATATCTCGAATTTCAAGTTAGGAAAGTTTGAAATATTTGAATTTATCGAACCTCAAGTCACAAAATATTTGAAATATTCGAACCCGAAATTTTCGAATTTGAAACTCCACTGTGTTCGAAAGTTGTGAATTTTTTAAATTCAAACCTCGGTCGGTACGAAAATATCGAAATTTTTCGAAATCAAACCTTAGTTCGCTTTGCAAATATCGAAACCTTTCGAAATCGAACCTCGGGTGGTTCGCGACATCCCTAGCTGGGAGAAACCTTTCCTTTAAATACGTCAAGTCTCCTTGAGCTTCGAGGCACACAAACACAAAAAAGCCAGTCTTTGGCGGTAGTTCCGCATTTACTGGGTCTCAGTTGCGACGTGTCTGTCCGCTCCCCGCGCTTTGTAGCAGAATTGTAGCAGTGGGGGCGCTTGGCTCGTAAACATTTTAGGGGTTTCCGGCCATCTAAACCACTTCCCCCCACCCCCCCTTCCTGCCCACACCACATGTTTCCGCCTCTTCGCAAATATCGGCTGACCTTCCAGCATCTTATCCATTTTTGTGCAGGAATGTTTGTTACAAACAAACCTACCGCTAAAATTCGAAAGTTACGCTGCGTGTTCTTTGGGTTACCCGCGGTTCCTTTTCACGAGTGGTAATGCTCAATGACAATAACAGCGTGATGACCTTATAAAAGATTGAATATAAGGTGGCATCTCCGTTAGCAGACGCAAGTGTTGCCACCCACCACTTTGTGAGAGCCGCCCAGCAACATTCAGGGATTCTACCCCGGAGCCACCGCTGCCTCTTCAGCCTTGTTGTCTTGTTTTTCAGGACTGGAGTTATCAACCGGCAGAAGTAGATACCTAAGGTTGTTCCTCAGCTAGAAAACACAATTTATTAATCTCATACGTGATGTGTCTCTAACAGTCGACCAAGGCAGTACAGAATGACGAAGGAAAGAAGATTCACACAGCAGACATCGAAATCTAAACAACTTTTAAGAAGAAGAAAGAGCTGAGATGACTGACACCCGAAGATGCAAACACAGCTGTACTGCATTCACCCTCATTAATCTGAGACATAATGGGTCGCATCTTCATACGCCTCAGCCCCAAACCAAGTTTTAATACTCATTGTGTTTTCCGAATATGGCGTGTCTAATTCACGAGAACAGAATTTCAATCACAGCATAATATAGCAAGGGTTGCAGTGGACGATAAATCTGATCTACTGATTCGCTAGGTCGGCTCTGAATATTAACTGGTTGGGGTGATCAGTGCATACTCATCTCATCTCAAAAGAAGTAATCATAAATAATATAGAACATAAACTACTGACATTAGCCATATATATTGACTTTTCTAAGGCATTTGACTTAGTCAACCACAGTATACTTCTGAAAAAGTTACAATGCTATGGTATTCGGGGTCATGTACTCAATTTATTTAAGTCCTATCTGGCTGAACGGAGACAATTTGTTAAAATCAATAATTCAGTCTCAACTATAAAAACAGTACATACAGGAGTACCTCAAGGGAGCGTTTTAAGTCCTCTATTATTTATTTTATTTTCTAATGACATTGAGCACAGTGTTCCAGATTGCACAGTTATAGCTTACGCCGATGACACTACATTATTTTTGGAAGGCACGACTCTTGATGACATCGAAAAAAGGGCGAATCAGATGCTCTCGCAGCTTCATAGTTGGACGGAAATAAATAGATTACGTATTAACATAAACAAAACTAAGTGCATGCTGCTTCGAGCCAAAAACGTGACTGTTCATTCTAACCCAAATACCACCATAGCCGGGGAGCCAGTCGAGATAGTAAAATCATTCAAGATATTAGGTGTAATATTTTCAGATAATTTATCATGGAATGAGCACATAGAATACATACATAAAAAAGCCAGAAACGCTGTTGGTACTCTATCCCGGTACCGTACAGTTTTCACCTCATTTGTTAATAATTTTTCACGGCCTCGTGCAGTCATATTTTCAATATTGTCACCTGGTATGGGGTACCACTACCATTCAAAATATAAACAAACTTCTAACTCTGCAAAAAAAATCTCTAAGAGTGGTTGCAAATGTGTCCTACTTTTACCATACAGATGCTCTTTTTGTCCGTTTTAGTGTTGTCAGAATAACACACCTACATTACTACCGCCTTCTTGTATCTTATAAAATAGCACAAAAAAATCAGCATAGTTGTTTTCTACAAATAGCAAATTTAAATAAAAATACTAGTGTTTATAACACACGGCGAAGTGAAGAGTGGAGTGTACCCACCCCCCGAACAAATTATGGACTGACATCGCTCGCATACATACTTCCATCTTTCTTGAATAAGCTGAATGCTGAAACAGATCTTAGCCATAGCTTACCATTTGAAGCTTTAATGTTGATACTGTCGAAGTTGTGAATTTCAGGCTTCGTGTTGTATGTGTACCGTGTCAATTGATATCATATGTTACATTAGAATCTTGTTAATGTCTTTATTTATTATTATTATTTTTTTTTTTTTGCTTTTCTGAACTTGAAGAATGTTTTCATTTTAGATTTGATTTTTGAGCAAAGCCCTGTACGCGCGCTGCTGCCTTGGAGCTGGGGCCTCGTCAAGCTGCACATGTTGCAGCTTTTTGCCCCAGCTACCTTCTTTCCTGTGAAAGAAAAATAAAATGATTGATTGATTGATTGATTGATTCAAATGTAAATCTTAACTGTACTCTCATTGCTCATTTGCGATGCCTGTCTTTTTTTAAAATTTCGCACCCAGTTTCAGCTTGCCGAATATACGTAGTTAAAAATACAAACAAGTATTGTCGCTTCCCGTTCCTTCCTGTTTATTAATCGTATTCTTTCTAAACCTTGCAGATCAAACTCGTCAGGATTTGGGACGCAGATGGGAACGACACTTCACAGCTTTGGAAAGGTGGCCTGTCACAGGCCGAATCCCCCTTCGGTGGTGCAACGCCTTTGTGCTATATTATGTCTTTACACGAATGCGACAGAGCCAGATCAAATGAGATGGCTACAGTTGAGCCTGCTGCACGCAAACTTTCTATTTTCTGCCTTACCTCACTTTGCCTATTTACTGCCCTCACCCCACCCCCCCTGCCCCTCCCACCCCTTTCAAAGCCTTTCCTACAGTTATTGATTGAAACTGTATAATCCCTCAAAGTATGCCTTAATGTGGACAAATTAAATAGTGTGTCTTACTTTTGGTTTATTATGTAGAATCTCTGAAGGTGGTGTCTTATTTCTAAAACGGTGAAACAATGTGCACAATCTGAGTGTTTGCTTTATTGTTTGCTCAAGGCAACTGTACTAATTTCTTACTGCCATGCTTACAGCCGCAGATGCATAAAACACTGGTGACTACTTATGACCGGCGGCGCAGCGGCCAGTCGTCAGCAGTCACAACATGGTTCACAAGCCCCTCCGGTCGCAAGCAGTCACAAGTGTGTGAACTGCCGAAATTGGTTCCTTCATGACAGTACTTTCATCTTGGGCCTAGCAAAACTCTCTGCAGACATGTTCCTAGCGAACACTTATGTGTGCTTTGAACACGTCCGCAGACGGTTTTGTTAGGCCCAGTATGAGAAGACACGAGAAAGAAACGTGCCTCAGACGGTGTTTGAAGGTTGTCTTCTGCTTGGTGTACGAGCAGTGTGACTGGAACTTCATGGAGCGAGTCAAGAAAACGTCAGCAGATGATTAGTCTGCTAACGTAAGTGAACAACGGAATTCGTCTGCTACGAAGCGTCATTCGCAGACAAAATGAAAAAAAAGAAAATACTTTTCATGTCTTCCGTTAACGGACCAGAATATAGGCAGCCGTCTGCTAAAAGCTGAGTGCCGCGACAAAGTGATGCGCGACGCAAGCTGAAACTATAATGATGTGCTTTACTTCCGGTTTGATGCTATCTACTCCTGTATAATAGCTGAAATTCTCCTATGTATGCAGTACTCGCAAAACGCTGGGATGTCATGTCCAATCAGTAACCGAGAATGCTATCGCTCTCACCAGGTACCAAACACTGACCCCTAAAGTTGTTTTTGAAAAGCTGGCGAAACAGGGCTGAACAAAATCAATATGAAGAGCCAGGCACGTAGTGCGGGGGGGGGGGGGGGGGGCAGCCTGGTCCCCCCCCAAAAAGAAATCTTTCATTTTGCTGTGACCTCCTTTTCCCCCTCCCCCTCATACAGCATTTTGTCATAGGCGGCCCCCCCCCCCCCCCCCCTCCTCCTTTCTCCTCCCCCGAACCAAAATCCTGGCAACGTGCCTGATAAGAGCCATGTTTCAGCTTGAACCTTGCCCTCGGGGTCCAAGAAGACTTTAGAGAGGAGGTGGCTAGAAGTTGTTAAAAATGCATAAACAAAACTACGAATGAACTAACGAAGGATTTGAAATGTGTAAAGTGATGGCAGTCTTGAAGATGAGACATCTTCAAAGGGAAGCTGAAGCGGTTTTGTAATTTAAAAAACACATAAATTGTCTTAATTTGCCCTCCAGGAAGCCCAATGTTGAAATTATTTTTCAATTTTATGCACGGAGGCAGCAGAAAATAATTTTCAAAGTACCACTGAAGCCCCTCCCTGGAGCGTGCCGTCATAAAAGGAGTTTCCGGAATCTCTGCTCTTGCGCATCTTCTGTGCCTATCGAAGTTATTTACGCGACTCTTGCTGTTTTTAAAAAGCAGAAGAAAAAAAAAAAGACGTCATGATTGCTGTTAGTGCGGGGGAGTGACAAGCCTGCAATAGACCTTATTCATTACTAGTGTCATCTCTCGGCGGCCACGGGTACCATCAGAAGCTTGGCTCCATCTTTAAGGCTTCACCGTCCCCGACGCCTGTTGCAGCGCGAACAGCTCTCCCCGGGTAACGTTCGTGCATGTTTTTTTTTTTTTTTTTTGGTATATTGGTGGTGTTAGTTGCTTGAGAATAAGTTACGAATATTAAGCGCAAGTTTGTTTTCAGTGGTTTCACTAAGTTCTTTTTAGAAAAATGAGCTTCATTCCAGCACCAGAGCAGGCCGACTCGGGCATTTGTTTTAATTGTGCGTTAACTTGCCTGACCAGCTGATTATGCCTGTTCGCACAAGAAAGATTTGTATGATATATTTAGCAGGGCCGTCAGCCCCTGTAGGATAGTTTGTTTTTATTTGGCATTCGCGGCTGCGGGTCTAAAGAATGCAAGCAGTTCTTCGCCCAGTGCACCTTGACAGCTGGCATGTGCAGACCCGAATTGCAGAGTTCTATGATGGGTGCGTTGAATATTTAATCTTTGATCCTGCAGATATAATTCCACACACACACGAAAAAAAACAACATGAAATTAAATTTTTAAATAAATTTGTATTCCGTTCCTTGGGGAGATCACCAAAGGTAGCTCAAAACAAAATTATAAGGAGTGCGTGTGATACAGCCCGAATTTACGATAGTAGTATTTTTATTGCAGGTAAAAAATAAATACTACGCTGAAGATCTACACTAGCATACTCACACAAGCGTATGCGAGGCACAAAAGCTTAAAAGGAAATGACCTGAGTGTCGCCATGGTGCAAATACGCGAAATATAACGTATTTAAAAAAAAATCATTTCATGGGAAGTAAAACATTTTACTATTATAATCATGATAATAATACTAACAAATAAATTCAGTACTTGCACATATATACTGTTTGGCCCCTTTAGAGAAAATGCAGGAATAAACGTCGGCGACATTTTAATGTGCTCATCCTGGTAGTGCGGTCACATAGCTCAGAGAGCTTTTGAATTTCATGCTTACTCGCAATGCAATATGACCAGTGCTCATAAAAGTGGTTGCCTGCAGTATTGGTTAAAAATAAAAGCTTCTCCCGCAGCGCGAACCCATTCAGTTGGGAAGCGAGCGAGCGGGACAGTCAAACTCGCCAACAGGTCCAGGTTAGCAGTCAAGAGCCCACTTTTATGCTTTCGACTACATCTCCAAAATGTTTTTCGAAATGTGAGAGTAGCGTGATAATGATACAGCGTAAAGTAAGCGAGCGTTCACCTTTGCTTTTTAGCACCGTTGCCTTTAACATTCATGTGCAAAACGAAGTTGTCACGTCGCCTGGCTCTTCTGCACTTTGCATCAGCCTTCAATCGGTTGTAAAAGACCTACTTGAGCGGGAAAAACAAACGCAAAACAGTGTATATGAGCGGTGTTGACCTGACCTTCCCGTTGCTCTGCACGAGCGAAGCTACGATGCTACCCAACATCAAGCTCCCAAAAAATCAGATAAAATAATAGATGCTTGCAGATGTTACATACAATTATCATGAGCCCTTCATGCCATCGTGGAAAGTGTCATATATTAATGAAATGTTTAGGAGCCCTTTAAAAACAACACTAACGCCGCAGGTGCTCTTTTAGGGAGCATGAATAGCACAAGAAAGTGCTACATCTATTCAAACGTTGGCTATAATACCTTTAGAAAGAAAAACAATACAATCCGAATGTTTGCATCGGTTGTTTTTAATTTTATTTTCTCGTTGAATACGTAGCGGAACAGAGCAGTCATGCGGTTGCTGCGCGCCACTCACGCGCTACAAACGGCCACAGCGCTCTGCCATTCGCCTCAAAGATGGCGTCGGAAGGAAGCTTGGCGCCACGTCCGACAGATGGCGGCCGAATCTGAATAAGGTTTATTGCTCACGAGCGACTCGCGCTTGGCGGCCGAATGATCCTTTTATGACGTAACGACTGGTCGGGGTTTTTTCGTGTGTTCTGGCGTTTAGTTACATCTTCGGGGAAAACAAACGAAATATTTCGATTTATGGGATAAAACTACGCTGGAATCAACCTCTATCTCATTTCTTGGAAGAAGTGTTTCAGCTTCTTTTTAATGAAGACGATCAAGAGGAGAAAGCCACTCTAGCTTGTCTTGAGTTTGAAGAAATAAAAAAACAAAACATTCGCGTTGCAATAGGGACTAAACTTTATACTGGTGATGAATGGTGATCAATTTATACTGGAGATCACTTAACCAAATTATAACGTTTTATAATCAATTTCTGGATGATCTAAAAGGCTTTTTACCAAGCGGTTCAATGGGGAACTCGTGAACGTGAACCAAGTATCTCAGCTAAAACTCGTTCTCCCTCAGTGGGCCCCGTTTATGTTAGTTTTTGGCAAAATGCGAGCCTGATTGATTGATCTACACTGCATATCATTTTATGAATGATGGCATTAGTCACGCGGATGCGGCACAGATGGAACCGGCAAACATTTTCCTCGCTAGCGGTTTGACGCTGCATACGTATATAATGAAACATCTCGTGGAAATAGAAATGGTCAGTGTTATTTGGCCAAAACATTCACTCTTGGAAATTGTATGGTCACATAGGACTTACTTTTCCCGCGTCCTTCAGATTGAAATTTCTCGCTGGTACCCCCCCTGACAAATGGTGTTGTTATCCATGCCCTGTCTAATCTCAAAAGTGGCCTTCAGTTTTTTACTTGATTAAGCTGAACTGCAAATGCGCGTTTTCCCATTTGCTGTTTTCTTTTTTCTTGTCTCTGCGTCGTAATTCGTAATCATTTACTCCGCAGTCTAATCAAGCAATGAAGAGCCAACTAGACCAATTCCAAGCACTGGTACCCTTCAGTTTTAGATTTGCTCATCCAATGTGACGATAATTGAGGGCATGTAAAGTACCTTTGTCTTGGAGACTGTTTATTAATACTCATTCTTCTAAACTTTGCAGGCCTAGCTAACCGGAAATGCTCTTAAATGTGAGCAACCCTTCGCTGCCTAAAAAGGAGGGGCAGCCACCAGCCATGTCAACTTTTGCAGTGCGAGACCTTTGGGCTACATTTTTTCCCAGATGAATGGGACCAACAAGTCGGATCAAACAAGGAATGGCCGCAGCTCAGCCAACTACATGCTACATTTTTATTCCCTTCCGTACCTTCATTTGCCAACACACCATGCCCGTTTTGTTGACCTATCATTCCCAAAACCTATGGCGGTGATATGCCGTACAGTTGTTGGTTCTGTGGCATGCCTGCCTTTCTTTCAGCACTACAGAGCGGGAGTGATGTAACTAAATCCCTTCCTTGATCATATTTAGTTGTGTCTTTGTCGATTTGTGTGGGACCGTATTGATGTAATCCTTTACTGTATGTTCAAGGTGAAGTGAAACTTTTGAAGTATGTATTTAATAGAGAAGGATTGCCTTAATGTATGATTCACGTGCAATTTTTACAATCAATGTTTTCGGGATTTTCAGTATTCAGTTTGATGCCTGTGTTTTTTCGTGATATGATTATTTTACCCTTTGAATTACACTGCAATACGAATGTAAACCCCTGAATTGCTCTACTTCATATGCATGATGTGTCTGTGTTTGCTTGTTCTTTAAGTTTGTTCTGATTGGGCTTCTGTAATGGTGTAGTATAAAAAAAATGATACTAAAGAAAATTTTATCTTCAGTCCTAACAGAACTTGCCCATGCAGCATTCAACTCCGAATGGCAGAGAACGGACTGCGAGGACAAGGGGGCGGAGCTCTCTTTCCAAGGAGCCGAATTGCAGAGGCAACCATTGAAGATGGACCAGGAGGGGAGGACAGACGGCGGTGCGACTTCTCCGCCCAATGTTATGGTGCCCACAGAACTAACAACACCAGGTATGAGAAGACGCACACGGGACAATACTCATCCAGCCTCCTTAGCACCTTTTTGTAGGCTCGGTTTTCCAGAAAATGGAAAACGTGAGGAGCCTGATGTGGTACACAATGTTTTCCCCACGTGGAAACTTCATTAAGTTTTAATTAGTGGCCTGCACCAAACCGAAAAAAATATTGCAACAAAATTTAATGTTTTCTTTTTGTTTTTGTTCCTTTAAGTAAGGGGGGTGTTACATTCCAAAGTCCAAGAACTACAACTCAAGTGAAAGTAAACAAACAAGCTGGGCTCAACTGAAGGAACATTCAGTCTGGGCACTCGAAGTTGCAATTGATACATATTATTTAATATCGGAGAAATGTATCGTGCTGAGTTGCTTATTTATTACGAAATTGTCTTTTTCTTTAGTTCTGGTTGATTGAGTAGCTCTCACAAATGCTATAAATTATTTTCGACGCATGAGATAGCCCGAAAAGGTTTCGCTGCTTCAAATGATTGAAGATTTTCTCACAACAATAATTTGTGTCGCCGAAGTCGCTTTAGACTGGCAAATGTCCATATCAATGTCGATATAGAACCGCGTTTTCCTGTTTCAAATCGCTCGTAAAATATTCGCTGTGTACTTTAGTGATTTTTCAAGTTTCTAAGGTACACAACGATTAATAAACGAGCCTATTGAATGCTATTTTGTGTAACCTAATAATCTGTTTGCGTGTAAACGACCCTTCCAGTGTTACTTAGTACACAGTCACAATCATTATGATGTCAACACGCTATCACCCAGCGCTCCGTACTGGCAGCGGTATGCAGCCGCAGCGTTGTAGGCATTACCAAAAAAAAAAAGTAAAGAAATACGTTACTCGTTACTTGCAAAATAAAGGAATGCGATATCGTAATCGACAGAAAGTAATGCACAACATTTTTTTTTTATAAAAAGACAGTAACAGCGCTTTTGCTATATTTTGGTGGCAGCGTGTTTCGACACTGGGATGACAGGCGCTGGCTTTGGGGTTTTTATAAAGCGGAAATTTTTGCGTGGGGAAAACAGTCAAAATTTAGACGCAGCCTACTCTACAAGCTAATCGGACAAATCAATCAGCGTCAAAATCACAAGTCACTTGGCCTTGTGTGTTTATTTCAGTGATGACAGAACACGTACAAAAACACAGAATACCATGATGGTTCCCTTTTCCCTCTTTCTGATAATTCCCCTCAGCTTGTAGCATCAGCTGCATCTGGATTGCAGGTAAAGTGTAGTATAGAAACTGGCAAAAAAATATAGGTGTACTTTTTTTCAAGTTTTCAGAAGATGTAACAAATAACTTAAATACGTTACCCGTTACTATGGTGCCTGGAACGCGTCTCCGACTGGTGTGTTTAGCGCACCCAAAAAAGTGGTCCCTTGATTTCTGCCTGATGACGTCATACAAGTGTCATGCTGTCGCTGGTCGCGATCCTGGCGGCGTCCCAACAGCGGTGGTGTTTGTAGCAGATGCTTGATCTGCTCAAAGTCGCTCTCAAGTGTGGCGGTCCACGAAAGTTTCGGCAGCCAGAAGTTGGGACGCCATGACGACAGCGACACTTGTGTTCGGTTGTGCTACTCGCAGCCTTCTCGTTAGCATTTCTACGACAGCTGCCAGGATCGTGACATGCAAGAGCATGACACTTTGGCTTCGGTGACGTCATTTGTTGCCACTTCGGGACCGTTTTTGATGTATGGGCGGGATAGGACGCTAATCAAACCAGTTTAAGACGCGCTCCAGGCACCATACTATTACTGTCTTGGAATAGTACCGACTACATTATCACGTTACTAAAAAGGTAAGGCGATACTGTTAACGACATTACTTGTAACACGTTACCGCTAACACTGGGCAGCAGCGGCCGCAACGGCTTGAATTCCATTTCGTACTTGGTTTGGAGAACGCGCAAGCCACCACAGCTACGGCACGATAGGACTCCCAGAGTCAAGTCTTGAATGGTCACCTGTAGACCTTTACAAGCATTGTGAATGAACATTTTTAACATCTGAAATGAATGAATAACTACTTTAGGCCGCAACTGCATAACGTAATAGCTGCGCCAACCTTTCTTGCTTTGTCGTGTCATCCCAACAGACTGCTTCGGAGCATGCTATGGCGACAAAGTGGATACCTTTGTTCGTGACAGCCGCAGAGGTGGCACCTCTCCCCAGACCAATTCGGGCCCACACAAGCAGCAGACGCACCGACAACCGAACAAGCACCGGTGCCGCTTCTGTCCTTACTCATGCCTTTCCGGAGCGGCTGTCGCCATTCACGAAAGGACTCACACTGGCGAGAGGCCCTTCAGTTGTGGTGTCTGCGAGAAAACATTCGCGCAGAAGCCTCACTTGACGTCTCACGTTAGAATTCACACCGGAGAAAAGCCGTTCAAGTGCAGCACGTGCAGCAGGGCGTTTACTCAGAAATCCGCCTTGACGAGTCATGTGAGGACTCACACCGGAGAGAAGCCATACAGGTGCAACACGTGCAGCAGGACGTTTACTAACAAAGGCAGTTTGGTGAATCATGAGAGGACTCGCACAGGAGAGAAGCCGTTCAAGTGCAAGACGTGCGGTAGAGCGTTTGCGGCTTATAGCAATTTACTTAATCATCGGAAAATACATTGCAAGTGATCGAAACCCTTACATGCATCATAGTTGTGGATAGGGTTCAAACGAAATACTCGAGCACCGACGTGTGTTCATTTGGCTTGGCGATAGGCCTGCAAGGGTTCTACTTGCGAGCAGTGTGTGTTTCGCATGCTTCATAATCTCTCAGCCTCTTATTTATCGTGTTAACACAGATAAAAAAAAGTGAATTTACCTTAAACGAAGCGAACATAGTTTTTTTTTTTTTTTGTGCACGATAGAAAAAGAAAATACTTGAAGCCAAGTCTTTTTTTATTCATTTAGAGTCATTAATCACGTGCTGCTCCTGGAGTCTCTCGGTTGTCTGTAGGGTCACTTATGTTGCTTACAAGTCGGCCTACTCATGACCATAAATAGACAAACTTATAAAATAATTAAGGTCTTTCAATAGCAACAACCTTGAATATTGCAAATGTTAAGAAGGTATTCGAAACTATTTAACACACTTAGCTGGAAACTAATGCTTTGCTCATAGGACTGCAACAGAATATACATGACTCGAAGATTTAGAAATGCAGTGTAATTTCCTATCTCATTTCGTTATATTCTTCGTCCTTTTTCTTTTTGACCGATTTGAGTATCTGAATTCTGATGACATCATTCAACGTGCTTGCTACATGTAATACTCGTATGTATGTCTTCCTTTTGCATGATTTTATTCTTTTTTGCACATTCACGAAGACGGTTCTGATCATTGAGGATATTCATACTTTAAGTGCTATTCATTTGGTGTTCATAAACATTTTGTTTCACCTTAGGTACGAGCGCAGACAATGTTATGAGCCAGAGGACCAATAAAACAGCGCAAAAAGCGCAACGCCATGGCGTGCTCTCTGTGCTTGATAGGACTAGCCGGTGGAGGAGCACGCACAGAGAGATGGCGACAGAGAACTCGTTATAGCTTTGTGTCTCTTTTGCTGTTTGATTGGCCCTTCGGCTCATAACATCGGCCGCGCTCAGACCTAAGCTGAAACAAAGTACGGTTTCACTTGAATTCGTCAAGCTTTTAAACATTTGAAATTCCTCTTGTAGTGAACGAATCATATACATTTGTTGTACTAAAGGTATAATTGACCTCATTGTGTATTCATCTATCTAAAAACTGTATAGGCATAATCCATCTAAATATGTCTTAATCTGCAGTGACTGTACAGTGGTTTTCACTATTGCCATAAGCAGCAAAATTGATGGAATTGGAGTCCTGTTCCCAAGCGTATAAAACATTTGTTTTGACATATACAGGGTGTGTCCGAAAACGGGCAAAATCGCTACTGCAAAAATGACGCATCGCACAAAAAAGAAGTCTGTTGCCATAGTGGTGTGTGTCCAAGGAAAGTTGCTAGAGCTCAATATAATGGGATATTTAATAAATTCCGAGTACTTAAATTGTTAAATATTATTCTTAAAGGATGGTTTCAAAGATAATATTGTTCGGCATCATTGAGAACGACTAAATGCACCCATGTTATAATGGCATGAGGCGCATGCGCAGCATTTTACGGCGTTCTGAAAAAATGCCTTATTTGGACACGTATCTGGCTCTCAATTTCTTATCGGAGAGCATCTCCGTGTGGTCAATCTCGCCTTCTGATTGCCCGCGTAGAGATGCACTCCGATAAGAAGCTGAAAACAAGACAGGCGTCAAAATTGAGTATTTCTTCAGAACGCCGTAAAATGCTGCGCGTGCCTCATACCTGTAGCATGGCTGTTTTATCATAGTTTTTGATGATGCTCAGCAAGATTCTATTTGAAACCATGCCTTTAATATCAATAATTAGCAATTCATTTATTAAATAAATCACTCACCTAATTTTATTGAAGGCTAAAAGTTTTAATGGCAGGTGCAAAGGGCCTAGACTGGCAGGGTGGTGGAAACTACGAGCCCGTTGGACCAGTTTTACGTTGATCTTTCGAAGCATGCCCGTGCTCCCAGCTATATCCATGCAGAAGGCATAATCAGCAATGAAAGGGAGGCGGTTGTCCGGTCCAGCAAGTATGTACAGTAGTTCCCGCCGCACTGTCAGCTTCAAGGGGCCGTGCAAAGATATTGGGTATTGGGCTTTCTGGCACCTGTGGGACCCAAGCACTGTTGTGCCTGTTATAGAAAACACGTAGCAAAATACCGTCACTCTTTAGATCGTCAAAACTTAACGAGTTCTGAGATTCGTTACCATCCTAAGAACGTAACAATATACCAATGCGGTTACTTTCAAAAGAGAACGGACGTTACTTTTGCGCCAATTTGAATATCATTCATATTCGACAGTAAAAGGCCGAGGATATGAATTTAGACAACAGTTCAACTTCTACGGAGTCATTTTTTTGTGTGTTATTAGTTTATAAGATTTGTTGCATATGTTTATTATTTTGAAAACTGGCTTGATCGACTGTTCTCTTTTTTATTTTCTCTTTCTTTCGCAAATAATTTAGTAATTTTTTGCACGACCATGAGGGCTCAGCAATAAACTTCGGTTGAATAAAACGCTGGTTTGAACAAAGAGGTAACCACGTGTCGCCAAACTTTTTCCCCATTTGAAGGGATACACTCTTGGGAGTATTTATAGGTACTCCCATGAAAATGGGGTACTATGCATTATATTACAGTATACCCTTTTTTCTTGGGAATGTTGTAAAGGCTCTCCGATTTAACTCTTTTAAAAAGTCGGCGAACCAGCGCACTCAGTTGGGCACGCGCACAGTGGAGATTGCGAACAGCTTCGCTGATTCTTTCATAAGTTTGTTCTGAAAGCACTTAAAACCCGGTTTCAAGCGCATTTAAAGCAGGGATATTAAAGGTGTGTCACGAAGCGGTCCGGACATAAATAAATTGATAAAAAATTACTGACAAGGGCAATATAACTAGGGTTATCTGGTGGAGAAATTTTAGGACCGAGTGTACTGTAATGAATAGTAAATTAGGCAACGCTCTTATGGGCGAAAAGAAGGATAATTCTATTTGTGATAAAACGAAGCCGCGTTGTAGGCAACATAAATTACTAATGACAACAGTAGGCTAACGACACATTCCGAATGTGATTAAAGCGTGCAAACCGGGCTTAGCGACAGTTAGTAAAAAAAAGAAAGAAAATGGAACACTGACAATGACCTATCGACCCTAATCGTAAACGTTCGTCACGAACGCAACTGCAGAAGATAGTTATTCCTTCAAATTTGCCCCAAAGAAAAAAAGAACATCTTATTTTTTAGACTGCCAGGTCTTTATACCAGGACTGGGGGTAGGCGACTGGGAGGTCTGCAGGGTGCCATTAAAAGGGTTGCGCTGCTACACCCCCATTTGAAATTTTTTTTTTTAGCTTACTAATTTATTTGAACACGGCGGTTTTCGTCAGAAAAAAATAAAGCTTGTGTTGGAACACTACTCACATATTTACTGACTACGTGATGTCGCAGATAGGGGCATATAAAAAGGTGAATGGGATGGGACGGCGGGGGGCGTTGCGGCAGTAGTTTGCCTAGGGCGCTTGATGGGCCGGCCGTGCTTTATGCCGTCTGATGCCTGGTGTTGATAGAATTGGGGAACTAGCACCTGGCACCACGCCCATTTTCACAAGAACAGAAGCTGCACAAAAATTGGACGACTGACAGAAAATCCATCGGTGGCACACACAGAGGAGCCACCGCGACGAGTGCTCCGACCAGCTCCGGAAGACCGCTTTCGTGTACCGGCTGAGGCTCAAACTGGAGAATTCGAATGTTTCGTCAGGAGGTGTGTCGCAAACTTCCAACTTCCTGCGCAACGTGATACAGCACCAGTGTGCTAAAGAGCCAACATTAACCCTCAAGAAAAATAGGAAGGGCACGAAGCTGGAATGCAAGAAAAAAACACAAGTGCGTCTCTTTTTATTGTGAGTGTATTCGTGTATTTTTGTGGATCATTTCTCGGGGACCATTATATAATCCGCGAACGTGAACAGAGCATTCCAGAAACCAGATGGCACTGGGGAGGAAGCTTTCTACCTATCTGCTTACGCGATATAGTGCTACTTCTAAATAAAAATAAAGAAAAAACTTGTCTTTTTGTTCTGATTATCAGCAAACGACTTGACCTTAAAAGCCCCCCCCGCCCCCCCGATTCCGAGTCAAGAGGTCTAACGAGGCAAGAACGATCCATCATTGTACCTTCTGACTCGGGCCTTTTGACTCGTTGGACCTCTTGACTCGCCGTGGATCTTTTGACTCGGACCTTTTGACCCACATTGGGTCTTTTGACTCGTCAACGAATTAAAAGATTCGTTATTGGAGCTTTTGACTTGTTGGAACTTTTGACTCTCTGTCCGATCACCGGAAAAGGGGGGGGGCTTGGAAGAAAGTTGGAACAAGAAGAGCAGGAAAAGAGACAAAAGCGGAAAAGCGATGAATGGCGGCTTTCGGGTGGCAAGGAGGGGCGTGACAGTCACTCCAGTGCAATGGGGTAGGATCTTGCGAATAATCACAAAGCAATAAAAAAAGGGAGATGAGAGAAAAGGATACAGTGACCTCGGGGACGAGAGGTTTTGGGATCCTGAATGGCTGACTGTGTCACGGTGTTGTGCGTTTTCCATTTCAATCTGCTGGTGACCAACGCCATCTCTTCTTCCGGTATGCTCGAGTACCGGAGGAATTTCCCGAGAGTTGTGCGCGCTGTACGGTCGAGGGGATGCAGGTTGTTTCTTGAATTTAGAAACCAACGAACAGTTAGTCGGTCACTTAATGACGAGGCGCGTATACACAGCATGAGCTGAACTAGCAGGAAATTTTGGGCTATGTGGATGATTTTGACAGCATAATGTTTTACAGTCATCCTGAGGGTCAACATGCCTTTCCGCAGTATATTGCCAATATGGCCAGTGCAGCATGACTGCTAACTCGCACCACGCTGTACGGAGTACGAGCATCGGCGTGCGTTTGTGCAATCACTACAGCGTGGTGCACGTAAAGACCCCTAATACTCCGTTTCACCTAAGGATTGACCTCAGCCTATGCTAGAAGCCGAGGGCGTCGCAGGACATCTCGCTTCGCGCGACGCCGAACCGGTAGGTCACGTGACACAATGTCGGTGCAACATCGGTTGCGCTGACTGGTTCACTGACCTGCGTGAGTCCGACCGCGTCCGCCTGCAGCAGCCTGCGACGTTACATATTTTTACGGGTTGCTATGGCAGTTTACGACCACCATTGCTGCTGCAAGGCGCGGTCGTAAGAGGCTTGAAAACCGGTTGTGTCAGACTTGGTCGTAGTTGGTCGCAACAGTGTGAACCAGCCTTCAAGGTAGAAGAGAGTACATCTTTCATACAGCCCCGGCTAAATTGCTGATTTGTGGGTTAGATATATGTAGCTTCTTGGATGGGTGACAAGCTCATCGCTATGTCTCAGTATTCACAAATACCACTCAGATTTGTGCTGACTGCGTATGGTTCATCATCTTTATTTTCTTTCTCTCATCTTGTATAATGGAAGGATACCAAGCGGGAGATCTCGTATTTGGTTGAACAACGAAGTCCCAACAGCGACAAACTTGTCTGTCAAATGAAGTGTCCGAGAGTATGGACTGGGGCCTCCAAACACGCAGAACCGTCATTGTTTTGCTTGCGGCGCTCGCTGAGTTAGCTTTTCGCACAAGAGAAACATGAGTCGTACATCACCTACAAGGTGATCATAGCACATCATGGTAGCGAGAGTGAACGCGACACAACCGCGTTTCAAAAACGTGTGATGGCCGTCATATTGCATGGCCATGGTGGGGCCTTTTTCTGTAACGAATAGACAAATCGATCAAATGATTTTTTATTGAAAATATACGCGCACTCTGTGTGGGTCTTTTTGTACAAACTAGTTTGCTATCAAAAATCAACCCTACCGTAAGCTGTACTTTGACATGCACGGTATGTAGTAAGCTCGTTAGAATGTCTTGAAGCCTGCATTCTTAACCTACCTATTAAATCGCGTTCTTCGGTAATATCATGGATTAGACGGACCCCTTACGTTGAGTCTTTAGAAAGTTTGTTTTATAAGCGCACTCTTGACATTTCGTGGATGGTTTCTCCAACTCGGGCTATGTGACTGTAAGGTTGTGTGGCTAAACCCCATTTATTTTCCTTTTAAATTGTTTCATGTTCTATTAAGCAGCGGAATGCCAAAGAACGAAATTGGCTCGAACTAACGGGTTTCCTCGAAGATTAGCCTGGTGTCCGGTGTCATCCGCTCGCTAACTAGAGCGGCCATCTGGAACCTGGGCGGCCATCTGGAACCTGGGGACCATTCGTGTGAATTATGATTGGGGCGCAGGCCTCGCCTCACCAACGCGACACCTCCACGGCTCCCCGGACCCCACGTGCGAGGAAACGGGTCGTTGTTAACGTATTCTTGGAAGGCTCATTCGCCACTTGCTTTGGTTCTGTTGTCGCGTGCTTCGCTTTTAGAAGTTTGTTTTGATTTTGTTGTCACTTGCTTCGCTTTTAGAAGTTTGCTTTGGTCTTCGCCCGCGGAATGAGTTAGTCTGGAAAGCTGAGAGAGACGGACTTGTCAGCAACACCCTCCTAACCCACACCTCGGCAACAAGTGCGCCGATATCTGGCACCATACTATTTCTGAAACCTTGCTCGATTGATAGTTCTTACTTTTATTAAATTACTTTCCATCTATACAAACGTCTGAGTAGTTTGGTGGTCTGCCAGCGAAGTCACAGGTGTGTGCGGAATTGCTGGACATCCGGGAGCTTCTCAAGAAGCGACGCCCGGCAGCGACGAAACATCCATCGTCGACAGAACAACGAAGCAAAGAACTTTTAACTGTGACATCTCCCCATGGCTTTCCTCCATCTGGCGTACCCAAATTCGCCGACCAACGTTGCCCGCTGACCATAGTTGCCAGACTACCGCTACTCCGGCGGGTGTATGAGGGAAAAGGGAAAAAAAGTAGTTGTTTCAGCAAAGAGAGGGGAAGGAGGCAGAGGAGGAAATGCGTGAACAGGGAGAGAGTTTCTAAATAGGGGGGGGGGGGGGCCTGCAGGGGAGCGTAACGCATTTACTCCGCCACCAGCGTCGGGCATAGAGTTATTACAATAAATGCTAGAGGCTCGGCTGGCGCTAGTGTCTACGGGACTTCCGGTTGCAAATTGAAGCAGACAGCATGCAGTCTACTTTTCCAGTCTTCCTGTGTATTCCTATGGAAAAACACGCGGGAATTTTGTCTCGTCGCCGGAAAATAACATGAATAACTCTTGTTATTTCGGTTGTAGCAGGTAGTATGTGCCTTTATTAATATTGTGAAAGTAATTGCTTTAGTTACAGCGTTTTTCCTTTACCACTGAACGATGCTAAACTTCGCTATATTTCAGGCCCAAACCTTTGATCCATGGCAGGTATGTAGAAACAAGCGACGATTTTAAGCAAAATAACGATTGAAAGGAATGTAGAGTGTGTTCAAAGTTTGCCAGCATTCCGTTGGTACTTATATATTGCTAATATGTCTGTCCTCTCACTGTATCAAAATGACCCCGTCGTGCATCTTTACGAGTGGTTAAGAAAAACGTTTGAAACATAAAGAATAAAGGACGTGGACTACGAAAGGTGTGTTTTCTTATTATTTCCTATGTTGGGCCTAGCGGGCACCTCGGTCGGGATTCGAACCCGCCACCTGGGGATGTGTAATGTGTGTTTGTGTGTGTGTGTGTTCTCACTCTACATTTCACCCTCATTTTTCTTTTAAAACATTTTGGCTTACGGCCCTGTGTACAAATTTGGTATATGTGTGCATGTGTTGTTTTTTTTTTCTTTTTCAAATCCTGGGTGGCGGGCTGGCAGGCGCACTCGCGTTTGGGTTTTAACCTTTCTGCACAGCCATGCACGCCACTCAGGATAAGATTTTTGTATGCAAATAAATATTACTATTATTATTATTATCGCGCACCTGTCCTCTGGCTTCCCCCTATTTGCAAAGATTTGGAGCGTGCGGGTGATGATTTCAACACAGAACAAGAATCTTCGCACATATTCATGAGCAGAAAGAATAAAGCAGTACTTATTTATTGCAAATCGGACTATATTGCGTGACTTTCAATTTATTTTGATCGTCTGCAAGCACAAGGAATTCCTTACTCAGTGTTACTGCGTAGTTCTTGCTGTCTCTCTTGTCCACATGTCCTTCGTTCGTTTGGCACATATATCCCCCACGCTGGAAAGCGTCGACGCCGTGTTCGCGCTAACAGTGTTCGACAGTGCACATAAATACACGTACGAAGCGGTTTTAACACCGTTTTTACTGCCGCGAATTTCAAATAAAAATGCTGTAACTGACCAATTATTTCATCTGCGTGACTGAGAAATGTTCCAATTGGCCTAGTACGTACAAATTATTTGTGATATTTGCTCTTATAATCAAGCGCAGAGAGAAAATGCGCTCGCTTTTTCCCATAGAAATGCATTACCGGAAGTCAATTTCTGATTGCATGCTGTCTGCTTCAAAATGCAACAGCACACTAGCGCCAGCTGAGCCTCTAGCGTTTCTTGTAATAACTCTATGGCGTCAAGTCACTGGTGTCGATGACGCTTGTTCGCACTGCGCTCGCGCCATCCTCTTTGCCTCCTGCTTAGAGGCGCTGGCATCATTTGCGCGTTTGTTGACGTCGCCGTAAAAACGTGCTCGCTCCGCGTACGCGGGAATTTGTTTAGATGACCCGTAAGAATTGCTTCCTTGGTTTACCTGCAGCGATGCAGCGATAGGCTCAAGAATACCAATTGGTGCTTGCAAATAAACCCCAAGTTCTTTTTATACATAATTACAAGGACTGCTTGAACTGGAGTGGGTGGCCCTAAAAAGGGCCGTTTGCTGGGCGTGTTCAGGCACACGGATACCCTCCGGCCGATGGCATCCACAAGCCTGAGGAAGGGGTCCCTAGAGCACTATATAGCTCCTTCTGAGCAGAGTACCTCAATCTAGGACGCCATCTCGGTGACTAGCGGCGAACTCCTAGAGGTTCCAACTCCGGTCAGAAATGCATGGGGAACGTTGGAAAATCGCTGTTTCTTCAAAATTGTGGGGATGTACGGAATGACAATAGTTTTTGACATAATAATGGAACATTCTAGAAATTTACGCTAAGTTCTGTGCCACGTAAGGACGTAACTTTTTTTAAAAATTGCCTGAGTGGCATCATGCAGCAGATGACGGAGCGACGTCACAATGTTCACGTGACCCGCTTCGGCCAACCCCCAAAAAACCCATCTCCGCTGCGCAAAACAATCGTCTGCTTCAAACGCCATTGCCTTGGAAATTGCCTTCTCACAATTTTCACACGCATCCAATATTATTAAAACTTTGATAAAGTGTTTAGAGCTTTACCAACTTCACGACAGACTAGTTTCGAAAAGTGTGAACTTGCTGTTTATTTTTTAAACAGCCGTGTTGAGTCGATCTTCATGTATTCTCCCATAGGGCGGGCCGCCTCCTGGGACCCTGAGTACAACGTGACACGCGCCGAGCTGCTCAGTCGGCCATCTTGTCGGCGAAGCACGCGGATCAAAGGATTGCGCTACTCTGCTCCGTAGGAGCTATATAGAGCTCTAGGGGTCTCTTCTCTGCACCTGGTTCGGCTGTGTTCCAAATCTTACCCAAATAGATCCGAGTTACTCTGGCAGATTGGATCACGTGACAGCGCAGATTGAAAAACGCTGGACGCGGGTAAGTTTTAGAACGCCAAGGGTACAAAACCTTTACCCTGGAGTAAGGTCGAGTAAATTTTGGAACACGGCCCATACAATAAGTCCCCCACTGATCTCTATTTTAGCAGGCTGGATTGCGGATCAGGAGCCCGTCGGTGTCAACGTTATTAGAACCAACCCAGTTCTGGAACTCCGCTCCGGAGGGGGTCCCTTTGCGCGGCGCCTGTTAGAGGGCGTGCGCTCCGCATTAATACTCGCTATCATCATCATTGACAGCGCGTTTGTGTCATCTGGCCTACTGCTTACGGATGTTAGTGGCGCTTTTTCTGACAGTAGCAGACGACTTTCAAATTGCTTCTGCTGCAGTTGGTAGTCATCGACACATCTACTATTACGGTATGTACAAACTTGCCCTGATTGTAGCCACCGGATTGTGGCACCGACAAATTTGGGTTGTTCGAAACGCTTCGTGCTGTCAGCACAGCTAAGGCAGCAGCATTTTACAGTAATGCAAAGCGTATGCCAAAACGGTCGTAGCGCTTTTCATGCTCAAATTGTAATTTTTACTGGCGAAAGGGCAAAAATTAACCAAAAACCATGCTGAACCTCGAGAGGAGTCGGGACTCACAAGCAGCCACAGCGCAGTAGCAGACGAAAACACGTGGAATAATGCGCCAGCAGCGCCACCTAGCTGCAAAAGAATCGGACCCGGTTTCGGACCCCCTCCCATGTACAGTGTCTATGGGAAGTTCCATAACTGAGTTGATCTTAGTAACGGTGCGTCGGTGTCGCCACCGGCGGCCATTGCTTGACACCAGGCAATACACGCAAGTCTATGGGAGAAACGCACAAAAGTAAGAATATTGAAGCGTGTACACTGTGCTGGAGGCGAGTATTTTATGGTGCGCTGCGATCCTTATGTCGGGTGTTTGGAGATTGAATCGGTATTTGTCAAACGTTCGGTCGTCGAATAAAAAAATCAAACGTACCGGAGCACCTACGGCTGAGCTGGCAAGCTTGCTCTCGTAGTGTAGTAAACAAAGGAACTTGCCGTCAATGAGACCGTCCTTGGGGAAGCCCAGTCGTTGATGAATGACAAAGAAGTTCCATCTCGACAATGGCTATCCCAGAGTAAGCGAATTCCGCGTAGCAAAGCCTTTGAGCTTGTCGTCTGCTAAACCCAAACCAACGAAACCGCCACCGACCCTGCGGTAACTCTCGCCTCATTGGGCTGCACTACAGCAGAGTCACTCTCGACCACAAAATATTTATTTATAATAACTGCGAGGGGCTGTCAGTTTTAATGTTTGTACGCAAGCTATTTGACGGGCTTATTGAAAAGTATCCAAAAAGTTTCAGTGCCGACCACAGCTCAGAAACGGGGGAAACTGCACTTTTTCTTTTCTTCCCATAGAGTCCCATGCATTGGCTGGTGTCAATCAATGGCCGCCGGTGACGACCAGTGGTGGCGATACTCGGCCCTAGCTGCTGAGGGCGCGGTCCACGATCCAGGCTACTACAATTAGGGAGGCTCTAGTGAGGGTGGGCGCAACTCAAAACCTGGAGAGCGTTTGCAATTTAATGGCGGCGCCTGAGGGAGAGGATTCGTGAAAGGATATGAGCCAATGTTGCCTGCACAAGAGCAGACGCCCGCTCTCTTGCAACTCTGTTGCTCCATGCGCCTTTCCTCCTGTCGCCTTCCATTGCAAGTAACGAACGCCTTGGCGCAGCCTCTCTCGCTTCCTTCTCGCTCCTATGATTGCAAACGTCGAGAGGCGAAAGCAGGGTTGCCAGACCAGCAGCAATGTCCAAGATGGCGAAATTAACCATTTTTCGCGTTAAAAAAATACTTAGCCTATCGGAACAAAACTGGTGGCTATGGAAAGGTAATCAATTATACCTTGTGTAAATTATTCAAGCACTTTGATGGGCTCTTATGACCTGAGTTAGAAAAGAAAATGACCCTTTGCCCCATAGACTCCCAGCAAAATTTAGCAATTAAATGGCGTCCATGTCCCGTGATCCCCGATCTAGCAGTTGCACCCACAATCACTTGAGCCTCCCTAATCCCTAACTACAATAGAGATCAGTGGCGTCCCCCGTCCCCTGTTTGGAAAAAGACCTTTTACGTACTTTTAGACCGTTTTTGATAGCTGCAAGAGTTTGGTGGCGCTAGCTACCGCCTAATAGTAGGAGAAGATCCAGTGTTGGTCTAATAGAATCTTACTATCACTTATTTATTTATCCATACCATTTTGGTTTTCCCGCTCGCGTTGGTCTTCTCGCGGCCTCGCGCCTCACTTTGACGCCTTTGACGTCCTCGGTTTTGAACCTCAAGATAAAAAGGCCGATCTGTTTACGAAATGGTGAGTTCCTCCGCGTGTAAATATTGGTTTTGTACGTGAGGTACGGGCCCACCTTTCTGAAACTCGCGTTCCCATAGGGGTGAAACAAAACCACGGAGTCTTGCAGCCGAGATGTTTCGTATTTAATGACGACGGTCGCACTTGTCAGTTCCCGTTCGCGTTTGACGTTCTTACGAAACCTGATTTAAGCCCTTGTGTTGTATTTCGTCGCGAGCCAACTGATAGCGCGGCCCGTCACTCAGAGAGCTCAAGAGAGCGCCTCTCGCGTATTTATGCCTACGGCTGACCTTGTGTAATGGCAAGCGGTCGTGTTGGCTTGCATGGGTCTGAACTAGTAGTCCCCTACTTCAGCCCACGACCAAGTCTATTACTTCCGACCACTTCACCCGGAGCTCGCCTTCGGGGAGCGCTGTCCCCGGATGCCATGGCCTCTGAGATCCCGAAGCCCGCGCGCGTGAAGTCTTCTCCGGCAGTCTTCATTTGAGTCGCTCTTCAGCAGAAGAGTGTTATCGCGCAAACTCCATCGCTCGCCGCGAGGCCAGCGAGGCGCCGCTGTCTGTTCAGTCATAACAGAGCCGTATAGACCGTTTTACTGAAAGAGGGCGAGAGAGAGAAGGGGAAAGGGCTACCGGCGCTTTTGCCCTTTCTGATTGTGTAGAAAGAGTGAAATTCCCGGATGAGAGGCTTCGCCGGTGTTGGGTGTCTGCTGTGCCCGAACTTCGTTCGCGCTTTCTTTTCTGTTTTAAACTCGCAAACTTAATTAGAGCCAGAGGCTTCGATGGCAATAGTCTCCCGGTCATCTGGACACCATTGCTGGGTCATAGGGTGCACAAATAAAATCAGGAAGCATAGAATACTGTCCGAGGATATATGTAGCTTGCAAGAAATCCGGCAAGGCGACAGCGGCTGCAATGTCTTTGAGCTCCATCGCTTTCCACATGAACCCTGTCTCCGGTGGCAGTGGATTGCGTCCATAAACCGAAAAGGCGTTTCCTCAACGCCATCCTCTCGACTTCGCTCGGAACATTTCGGGAATGCAGAGCGCACTGCCGATGAACATAGGGTACGCTCGCAATGTGCGTGCGAGTTTTCTCATGATAACTGCTGTTTCAGCTTGTAAAATTTTGTAACTGAATTTATCTTAATAGTGATAATTTGCAGTGGTGACTGACTCGATTTTATCATCGACAACAATTAGTTGAAGGCTCATTTCCGCCGCCGGCTGAGGCTGGAAATTGTTAAAAACGTGGTTCTATTAATTTTTTTTTTTTTTTAAATTGCGATTTCCTGCGCGATACTAAAAAGCCGGCAAAAGTGCTCCTTGGAGTGCCGCTGGTGGGTTCTTTCCGCTGACTAAGGCGCTTTGAGGCGCTTGATAGTCACTGCAGGGAACGTCTCGTGTGTTGCGATCTGCGTTTTCGAGCCCAGTGTGCACGTTTCTTTGTTTGAGTCATGGCATCCGCCAGTGTGGCGACGGAGAGAACAGCGCCAGCGAACGTGCCAGCTATAAAAATTGGAGGTGAGCACCCAAAATATTGCATCAAATAGTAAAATAATTCGTGGCTGCTTCGAGGCTTTCTGCGGTTCGACAAAAGTACATCTAGAGCGTCTTCGTCGTTCATTCACAAGGAAATATAAGAACAGGGACACGAAGATAAAAACAGCACAGCAGGACGATATGTAGCAGCTCCGGGCGTTTTCAAAGTTAATTGAGGTTCCCGTTAACTAAAAGCGGCTACGTTGAAATAGGCCCATTGCAAGCAAAAATGTATAAATGGTTCATCATTTCCAGTCATGCGGAAAACAATGAAGCTTAAAAACATTCCAGCCGTACTTGCCTTGCCGGATTCCATGCAAGCTACATAGGTCCTCGGACAGTATTCGACGCTTTCTGTCGTTATTCGTGCACCCTATGACCGAGCAATGGTGTCCCGATGACCGGGGGACTGTCGCCATCGAACACCATGGCTCTAATTAAGTTTGGGAGTTTGAAACGTAGAAGAAAGCGCGAACGAAGTTGGGGCACTGCAGACGCCCAACACCGGCCAAGCCTCTCATCCGGGACTTCCACTCTTTCTACACAATCAGAAAGGGGGAAAGCGCCGGTAGCCCTTTCCCCTTTTCTCTCTCGCTCTCAAAATGGCGCTAGCCACAATAAAACGGTCTATATGGGGAGAGTTTGGTCAGTCTATGATCTCGCGGCCGTAACGCTCTCCTCCCAAGTGAGCCAATCAGCACGCGGCGTAGAGCGAGAGGCATGAGTGGATGCGCGTGAACTCCCGGCTGCTCCCACCTGAGTGGGGAGGGCCGCCATCTTCGATCATTCTCCCGGCGGAATGCATGGGATCGGCATCTAAATCTCGATTATTGCCTTTTATATCGCTGGCTCTGGCAAGAAAATGACATTCTGTTATTCCTCGGTGGGTTAAAAGGGTAATGTAGCTAAAGTAGCCAGGAAACAGACCTCCTTATATCGAAATGTTGCGATTCAAAACTTGGAATATTCCCCGACCTGCAGCCGCGAGCGGCGGCCATGAGAAACACGGCGTGGCGTCAATGGGGGAATCTTAATAATAATAATAATAATAATCTTTATTAGCACAAAGAGCAGACTGTGTCCTGGGGGGCTTGCGAGGCGAGAGCAGATAGGCGAAAGCCCGTACGCGAGAGCGTCTGCTGGCCAACCCCCCAGGAAACAAACAATAAAAACAGAAAACAAGCAATCAGAGAAACAACAATCAAGCAACTGAAAAAAAAAATAATAATAATAATCCAAGCAGTCTTAGTGCCGGATTTGCAGAACACTCTCCAAGGACAATAATGAACCCCCCCCCCTCCCACACACAGCACCACGAGGTGCAACATTAGGGCTCCCCACCCTGTGGTAGGAAGCTTGTCCCTTCACAAAAAGACGCTGTGAAGAAAGGGCTTGTGCGCCCCGTCTCACAGCTCACCAGGGGTGCCATGTTGCGCCCCCCGGACCCCCAGGAGACCCGGAAGAAGGAAGTGATGTCAACAACGCAGCAAACGCAGATGGGATGTTGATTTTGTTTTCTTCTGTCAACATCCAATCTGCGTTCACCCTAGTCGACGACGCCAGCCCCACCCCCCAAGCCTCCCAGGAGTCCCAAAAAGCGCAACATAGCACCCCAGGAGACGAGGCACACACGACTGCCCCCCACCGCAACACACACCACGGACGTTGGTTGCCCCGGGCTCGCGAAAACGCCCGACACAGAAGCACAGAGTCCTGCCTGTCTTGAGGTAAAGGGACACGTATGTCTAGGGGAGCCGCCAGGAAAGCTTCAATTGCAGCTGGGACAAAAGAGTGGCCATGTCGGAGTGTGCGCGCCCTTAGCTGCTCAGGTTGCCCGGAACGCCTGTTAATCCGAACAACACTCTCCAAATAAGTGTCACACATTGAGCCGTCCAGGAGTCTGCACAAAAGTTTGACACGCGCTACGACTTGCCGGTGGTCAAGAGAATGCCAGTTCACTCCCCTAAGACGATCCTGGTATGACTGTGACCTGGCAAGTGGCCAACAGGTGCGTGCCAGGAGAGTCCGTGTTGCACGACGCTGAACTCCCTCCAGGCGCTGTGAGAGGTGAGCTTGATGGGGGCTCCAGATGGCCGCACAATACTCGAGGCGTGGGAGTACCAGGGCCGTGTAGAGTACTCGAAAGGCCTCCGGGCCACAAAAGCGCGAGACCCTGGTGACGAATCCAAGAGTTCTGCGAGCCTTCGCCACAATACTCGACACGTGGATGGTGAAGTCGAGAGTGGGAGTGAGCGTGACCCCCAGAGTCTGGAGATGTGTAGCCACCGGTACAGGGGTGCCAGACATCGAGTAGCATGGGGGCTGCACTCTCCTTTGTGCGCTGAAGCGCATAGCGGCACTTTTGGCATGGCTGAATCTGAGGTGGTTGGCAATGGACCAGTCCACGACCTGCGTCAAGTGATCTTGAATGAGATGGTAGGATGAGGGTGAATCTAGACGAGCCAGAATGGTGGTATCGTCGGCGAGAAGAGCGTGGGTCGTAGGACCGAGCCCTGAGGCACTTTTGAGGGTACTCGATAGTCGTTGGATGTCGATCCGTGGAACACAATTCTATGTGAGCGCCCGATGAAAAAATGTGCGACCCAGCGAAGCATGGAGCCACGCACGCCAACCCCGGCAAGCTTCTTGATGAGAAGGTGGTGATCAAGCGTGTCGAAGGCGTCGCTGTAATCAAGCTGGATCAGGTCAGTAGGAGTGCGGGCGTCCAAGCCATCACTGATGTAGTGTGTGATGGTGGCCAGGGCAGTGTCGCAGCTCCTACCTGGCCTGAATCCATGCTGTGACATGGAGAGGGTTTTGCTGTCGATCAGGTAGTCCAAAAGACTCCGATTGACTAGTCTCTCGAAGGTCCTGCAGAGGATTGATGTCACGGAGACCGGTCGATAGGAAGAAACATTATTCGCCGGCTTGCCTTCGCCCTTGTGGATGGGCGTCACCAGGGCCCTCTTTCATGAATCTGTGACCACAGCATTGTCCAGTAAGGACTGAAAGATGTTGATAAGAGATGGAGACGCCTGCGGGCAGAGCATCTTGAGAAAAGCAGGCGGCAGGTTGTCGGGGCCCGGCGAGAGAGAGGGCTTAATCTGACCCAAGGCATCATTGAGGTGGTCAAGTGTCAGGGTGATGTCAGGCATAGGCATGTTGGGGCACGCTGTGCTCTCCTCAATGTCTTGTACCAGAGAGTCGATGCAGGGTGGAGATGAAGCAGCATTGAAAACACTAGAGAAGTGCTGAGCGAACAGTTGTGCAACGTCACGGGAGGACGCTACGCTCCCATTATCGGTCAAGAAGCATGGCTTGCTGCTGCTGGTCTGCAGCCTGCTCATATAAGACCAGAACTGCTTTGGGTCCTCTTTGGCCTTAAAAGCAATGTTGCGGGCGTAATTGGAGTGAGCAGTGTGAATAGAGGACTTCAGTGCTCGCTGAAGATCTTTCGCTGCCTTTAGCGTTTCTGCACATTGCAACCGTGCCGCCTTTTTGAAAAGCGCCCTTTTGTGACTGGCGGCTTTGATAATGTCAGGTGTTATCCAAGGAGCCCTCTTCCGCCGGGTTGACCGAAGTGAGTGGGGGACGGAATCATGCTGAATGGCACAGGCAAAGTCACACCACAGATCGAAGTTTGAGAGATAGTCGCTGCCCATAGTTGTCATACCCCAAGGCGCAAAGTGGGCCAGGCTTGCAAGGTGAGCGTGATCTGTCTCGAGGAACCTCCATATGGTGCAGGCAAAGTGGCCCTTCCGGGGCAGAGAGGTGGCAAACGATACCTCCACAGCCATGTGATCACTTCCACTAAGTCCAGGATAGACGTCGCAGGAAAGGATCTTCGTGAGATCGGTGGTGAACACCAAGTCCAGGAAGCTGTTCCGTGGCAGGTAGGTGGGGCTGCGGCAGACCTGGAAGAGTCCAGCTGATGACGTTGCGTCTAGGAGTAGGTCGTCGAAGGCATCACCAGGAACCGGTTCGTCACTGTTCCATCAGTCGATGCGAGAGTTGAAATCTCCGATAAGCAGGATGTCCCGATAGGGTTTCAGCAGGGCACGAGTTACCGAAGCGTCGAGTAATTGGTAGGCAGAGTTCCGCGTCGAAGGCGGGCAATACACACACCCGAGTAGAACAGTGCCATGAGGCAAGTGAAGCTCGAGGAAGATCGCCTCCAGGTCGGGGTGTTCGAGGTCGTACCTTCTATCAACTGTGAGGCCGGACGGAGTGGCGACCAGTACCCCTCCCCCCCCTGCACTCCCTGTCCCTCCGAAAAATGCTATGCGGTGTGCCTAGAAGCTCACCGTCGTGGACGCTGGAGTCAAGCCAGGTTTCCGTAAGCAGAAGAATCGCATTGTCAGGCAGTGAACTTGCGGTGGCATGAAAATCTTGCATTTTGTTCTTGAGGCTGCGACAGTTGGTGTACCACAGGGTGAGTGCCTTGTTCACACCTTTTGCTCTCGGCGCACGTCCACTGTCCTTTCGAGGAGGCCGGCAAACACCGCCGTCGCCGCGGGTGACGGGGGGGCCGGCGACTTTGGGCAAAGTCGCAGGTGGAGGCAGAGGAACTTCAAAGAAGTCATCAGAAAACTGGGGTAGCGAACAGACCAAGCAGAACCACGGGTCGCTTAAAGAACCCAACTGACGATAATGGGCTAATGACAGGTGGATGCAGCCGCGATGAAACCAGCCTGTGCAGGAGTGGCAGCAGAGCGCGGCCTGGTTATCCCGCACTCGCTTGGTGCAGCAGGGACAGACAGAATGCCGGGGACGGGGATTGGACGCAACGTCACCGGCGAGCAGAATGCACCAGACGAGGTGATGCCGACGTGCATGACTTGTGAAGTCACCGGCGAAGTACCGGCGGCGTTCCTGAGCAGCCCGATTGAAGCGGTCGGGCCCGCTAGGCCTAGCCGGCATAAACCTGACGGCAGCCCAGCTTGAAAGGGACAAGGGAGCACGGGTCCAACTGTGGGATAGGCCGCCTTGAGGATGGCTGGCAGAGTACTTGGAGCCATCACGAGCCCCGACGCTTGTACAATTGTCGATTCGGAACTTCAGGATCGTGGCGAAAACCAAGAATATCCGGAGCCGCAAAAATGTGCGTGCGTCCGCCATTTTGGCAGGTAAAATAAAATGAAAGATAGCAAGTTGTGCGAATACCTGCTCGATAAAAGGTAACTTTTCTATAAATCTTGTTCCAACATATATATAAATGTGTCAAAAACCTGGTATCATCAACAAAACTTTTATTATACGGAGTTTTAGTGGCGCCATCTATCCTAGGTCCACAAAACCGTCAGCTCTCTCTGCTACCGCGAACAGCCGCCAGAAGCCAAAGGGGGAGGGGGACAGGGCCGGACGGGTATGACCGGACCCGTATGAGACTTTCCTCCTTTCACCATAATATTTGCACGGCGCCTACCAGCACGTGGTCACGCGGTCGTGAGCGGATGAGTTCTTGCTGCTCACTGATGGCTCTGAAGAAAGAACTTTTCCGGAACCCTGCGCCTACCCCATCAACGTCACTGCGCGACCCGGAAGACGACATACGAGTTGAGAGGTGGCAAAAGCCAGGATCTTTTTCATTTTTTAAAATGAAAACTAGGGTATCTAGGCAAAATCCGTTTTCTGTAGTTCACTTCAGAAGTGTCAGGCATCAACTTCCATAATAATTTAAGCAGAGCCCTGAAATTGTTGCACAGCTCCTTTAAGAAAGGGTTATTGATGCGGTCTGCAAATTTCCAGTCAAATCGAAGTCTATCAAAAATCGGTGGAGTTCCCCTTTGACCATAGCTATCTGTTTTTCTTCCATCCCCTCTGCCGCCCCCGCTCCGTTCTTTCCTTCCAAATTGCTCCCCGCGACCCGAGTCCTCTACAGCCAACGAGCCCTCGCCGCTCAAACCGACCATCTCTTCTCCTCGTCCTCAGTTCTACCCGTTGCCCAAATGTAAACACCAGCCAAGTCAACTTTGCTCGACAGCCCCGGCAGCCGACTTCTTCGCCGCAGCTGTAACCTTACCCCTCACCTCACAAACTAGCTCCGCTCTCGCCCTCGCCTCTGCTGGCTGACATCGCCTCTTCGCCTCAGTATCCTCCAAGCCAATGTTCCTAGTTGCTTTTGCCCATCCTACTGACTCAGACAGACCTTCCTTTTCCGTAAAAAAAAGTTATATTTAACTTTAAACTTGTTCCTTCTTCCTGGGCCCTCACACTATCCATGCGTTGGCAGGTCGGCAGAAAGGATTGCCACAACAGCGATGCCACCGTGTCGTTTTTTCAACCCTAACAGAAGATAAGACTTTTGTTCCAGGATGCTTCAGGTGGTCCACTATTCTCGAAAATTCCAAGTGCAACTGCCTGCATGATCTTCAACGAGGTAACCTACAAGGAAAGTGTGTATCGTCCTTTCATGCAGCAGCGTGGGCAAAGTTTCATGTTGAAGACCCCACCTACAGATATAAGAATATCAGCTCATTCCACCGTGACGTCATGCGATCACTGTTGACAGGAGCAGCCTTATTGGATAGGAGCGTGGTGACGTTTTGATGGTATTTAAGGTAACATGGAATTTATTTAGAGGTTGAAGTCTTTTCGCATAACTCGTCTGACAGACATAATGTCAGGGAAGGGACCGCGGTCAATCCTTGATGGAACGTTTCTTGAGCCCACTGAAGACTCCTCTTCGTCTGGAATCACTACCTTCAAGGCGAAGTGCAAAGTTTCCGGGCAAGTAATTTCGAGATCAAAAACTTCCGCTTCAAACTTCATCTCAGTTGGTGTCTCAAACAAATTTGAAAAATGTATTGCAGTACCAGTATTTCAGTATTTGTATTTCTAAAAAGTTTTAGGGGCGACGCTCCTTAGGGTTTAGCCTTGTCCATCTGTTTGGCGTCCGTGCTCACATCGATTGCACTGCCTCCAAAATCAACCCACTTAGAAAAGAAAAAAAAAAAAACGAACTCAGGATTGCTTGTTTACGAGGCAGACATCTTAACCACTACGCTACACTCTTTTTTTTTTTCCTTTATTGAACCACTACGCTACACTCCAACGTTGCATGTAGCCGCTCAACGTCTATAGAGGAGAGGGCGCTGCGGTCAAATGTGTGTATAATCGCGTTAAACTTTGCATGCATTGGCTCAACGTTTATAGACGAGAGGGCGCTGCAGTCAAATGCTCAACTGCGTATATAACCACGATCCATATTACACATTCTCTTTCTGACATGGCGAAAGCTCGCGCTGCAGAACCCAGGGATCCTGGGATCGAGCCCCACCCCTGCCCATTTCGATCTGGATGAGCATCGTACTGGCGTGCGGTCGTGTATCACTACTGCGTGGTGCACGTTAAAGACCCCAGGCTAGCGGTCGTACTGCACTGGCTAAATTGCTCATCTATAGCGTGTGACTCGTCGCAACTTTAAATGGCTGACCAACTACACGCTGTATAAATATCTCCACAACCCCAATTATTATTATTATTCTGACATGGACCGCTGACTTAAGCGGTCGAGATGCGTAAAATAAAACCAGTATCATCAGCACCACCAGAGCTTCGCCCCAATCAACATCATTCACCACGTGGAGATGCGGCCTCTTTTTGCATATTTTTATGTGTATTTCTGACATGTATCGCAATACGATTTTACAGATATATTTTGGTATCAGTATTTTAGCTACTATTCTCATGTATCCTTGTATTTGTATTTCCAAATACATTTTTGAGTATTTCTGCCCAACCTTGCCTTATCTCGGCCAGGGATGTCTTTTGCTGCATCTGTGGCGGACTGCGGCTCCACGGCGATGGGCACGACCGGTCTCTGTTCCACCGGAGCCGGGCCAATGGCAAGAACGGTGACGTCAGCAGGCCCCGGCGCGTGGACGACTCGGCGGAACATCGAGACGCCATCCGGTGCTTCGGCACTCTGCTGGCCCAGGCCCTGTGTTTGCTGCCGCCGCCCTTGCAGCAGTCGGACTTCAAGGGGTGGCTGCTTCGGCCCCGGCAACTTGCCACCGAGACCGCCAACGTTGCCCACCGAAGACACGGTCGGACCCAATAGACTCCGGGACCTGATCGACGTGGACATGGACTATTGACCTTGATCTGCTGTGGCCTGTAGACCGCTGGGCAGGGACGACGACTTCGAGCCCCTTCGGGCTCAAGTAAGCCTGCTGTTCCTTTTTTTTTTTTTTTTTTTTATGAGTGTCGGTGGATTTTTTTTTTGTATGTCCGGTAGGCCGACCAAATATTTTAAGGAGGGGGCGATGTGGGGACCATTGGTGGCCCTTCCCCGATGCCCGGTATAACGGCCGTGGTTCGGAACGCTCAACTCGGCTGCTGTGAGCTCCAACCTGTTTGTGAAGCGTAGGAGTGCCGCCTGGCTTGGGGGGCTCTCTTCTTCACTTTCTGCAGGGGGGACCATTTTCCATCCCCCCGCTCATCCAGGAACCTAGTTATTTAGGGTGAGGATAACACCCGCGGGAGGAGGAGGTCGATGCGTGTTCCCGACTTCGGGAACGCAGTCGCCTCTTTCGGAAGCGATGGAGATCAGATGTCTGGAGAAGGACTTCCTTGGCTCGCGATGGACAAAAGCTCTGCACGGGCCCGGGCCAGCCCGAATGCCAGAGCCCAGGCCGGGCTCGGGATTGAACAAAAAAATTTTTGGGCCGACCCGGGCCGAGCCGGCCCGGACCGTGACTGGGTCAGTTATGTGCCGCAAATTCTATTTTGTTAATAAAAAAAGTGCTCATTGATCTTTTAGGTTCAATGAAAACAAATAAGCAAAATGCAAATTCACTACGACATTGTTAGAAAAATAAAAGACGTCTTGCACTTGGAAAGCTTTTTGTGTGGATAGAAGGAAACGTATATGATTCATACAGGGTAGTGGGCCTGTCCAGTCAAGAAAACGAGGGCACTTCAGTCGCAGGGTACACATGAATGTGTTTTTCCACTGAGTTTCAAAATAAAAAAATAAAAAAAAAAGAGTGATTTTGGAATTTGTGGAGGGGGCATGCCACCTAAGATAAGCTAACTACCCTAAAGAATTCTATGCCTATACACCGACACGCGGGCTTGACGTCACGGAGCTGCGGCGGCGCTGCGATCGCGCCGGAGCCGGGGGGTGTGGGCAAAAGCGCGCACGTTTCGCATGGGCGTCATAGCATTTCAGCATGCCGCAAAGCTGTGTTGCCGTTAATTGCACCGAAATGTACAAGAAAAGTAGCGGAGTGAGTTTCCACAAGTTCCCGGCAGACTCTGAAAGGCATAGAAGGTGGATAATATCCGTGGATCGAAAAAAATGGTCGCCTCGCGCGAATGACCGTTTGTGCGGCAAACACTTTCTTGGAGGCAAGTGCGGCTTCCATTTCAATCTCCGTCCCGAGGCTTGCATATGTGCAGGGAAACCGTTGTCTGATCGAGACCACCCGGATTTTGTTTCCACGGTGTTCGCGCACAACGCACCCGGGCACCCCCCAAGCGCTCGTCGGAGGCTCGCTACGCCAGTGCTACCGAGCAGAAGGAAATCGACTACAGAACGGCAGTGTTGTAGGCGTTACCAAAAAAAAAAAAAAAAGTAACGAAATACGTTACTCGTTACTTGCAAATAAAAGGTACGCGTTACTGAGCTACGTTATCTAAAAATAAAAGGACGCGTTGCCGCTACCGATAAAAAGTAAGGCACATTACTTCTGCGTTACTTTTTTTAAATTATGATGTAACACATTTTACGGTTTTGACGATACAGGTCATATATCAAGAAACATTGTGTTCATGCAGAAACTGAACATAATTACTTTAGCTCTTTTCACGGTTTCACCTAAATACTTACGAGGAAAAACGCAAAGAAAAACATGGCTTGACGCCTAAAACACGGAAACAATTGAAGTGTAATTTCTTTAAGACTTGTGAAGTAGTAACGACTAACATAACTACGTTACTTGAAATAGTAACATAAGTACGTTACCCGTTACTGTGTCGAAAACGTAACGAGTAGGTTACTACGTTACTGAAAAAAGTAACGCGTTACCAACAACGCCCTTACTTGTAACCTGTTACCTCCAAGACTGCAGAACGGACAAAGCGTTACTGCTTGTCATGCCTTGTGGTCATGAGGGCAGGGAAAATATTATACCTTGACTTGAAGACGCTCTGTGTATTTAATCAATTAATGAATACACACACTTCCGCAGACCCACAGTCTGCTGATCCCGCCGGCAGTGCAGAAACCGACTGGAAGTAATCGTAGGCCTCGAGAGACTTGTACGCCTGCACCGTGTCGGCCGTGAACTGGCTTGGCGAAAAAACTAAATAAGCGGCGACCTGAGCCGTTGACTTCCGTGGCAGCAACTTTGCGTCGGAAGTCCAGCAGGCCTTGTTTACGGCGTACAGATCCTCGTAGGCCACGCCGTCCACGCACAGTTTGTTTCGATACCGCTACCGTTCAGGCTCGGGCAACGAGCTCAAATAGTCGGGCATAGCATACGACATACGTTGTGAGGAAATACGACGCACAAATAAAGATACAAGCGTCCCTACAACGTCAACAACGAGCGCACGCCATAGAGCGCAATGGCGAAAACACGGACAGCCGGGCTGCTTTTGCCCACATAGCTACCGCGCATGCGCGGCCTTCCGGCCGTGTTGGTAAACAGAGCCGCTCCGCGTGTCGGTCTATAGAGTGTAGACCGCATATAACGTATGTCGCGGGAGTCGCGAAAATCCGCACTATAAGCGGTACCGCGCTATAACCAAAACATTAATTTTTCAGGCCAAAATACATGCCATCAGACAAATTACCTTTGTAAAAGAATTTATTTTATGTTAGATGAAAAATAAAGCTTAGTTTGAGGAAAGTCTTTATTTCACCAGACTAGTACACTTCTCAAGTGTGTCACACATTTTGAAAGAAATGAACGACTTTTGCCTGGCGCAGCCTTTTAATGGCGTCGTGGGTTGCGAATGGACGTTGCGAGCGTTCAGGATTGCTAACCCTAACCACTTTTCTCTGGCGATGAAAACGCGTGAAAATTCGCATCCTTTATACGGTACGCGCCAATAATACCTTCAACTTGAGCACAGGCATGAAATGCTCCAAATAAGAAATCCGGGCGATGTTCGAAAACACAAATGCTTAGAAAGCACCACTGTAGTCGAAGTAAACAAACACGGACGTTTCTGCCGTCATGAGAGTGCCGCCACAACATCGCCGCATGAGTAGGTGGATCTTCCCTTCTAGTACGTGCTGGGTTATCATAGCGACACACAACGTAAATTCACAGTCAAGGATAGCGCTTTTACGCGGAACGATGTGCTTCTACCACGCCGTCTACGTCGACGATCAAAACCGACGCCATGTTTGCGGATAGAAGCAGCCGGCCGGCCGGCCTGCGACCGGCATGCAATGCGTGCGAACACTTCTCCTCGACCTGCGATTGGTCTGTCGTTGCGGTTGTTTCCAACCAACGCAGCGGGGGGACGCACGCACGTGAACGACATGTGCGTGCGTCCCTCTGTCGCTATGGCAACTGAAGCCTCTCTCTTCGCTTCTCCCCGCTTCTTCGAGCAACCTCCTTGCCCCGTGAGTGCCGCTTGCGGTTCGCGTCGTTATCTAGTGTCGCACAGGGAAGCGTGCTTTCTGCGTCGGTCAGTTGGCGCGGTCGCCGGGCTGTTCCGAAGACCGCACTATAACCGGTATTTCCCTTCGCGCGCCTGCATTTTAAGCGGTATGTAATTACTTGGAGTTTTATCGGAGGTGAACCGGTGGTTTAAAAAAGCCGCATTATACCCGGTCCTGCACTATAAGCGGTTACGTTGTAAGTGGTCTATACTGTACCACCTTTTGAAGATACACAAGCGTGATTGCGATTGTTTCTTCATAAAAATACATGTGGAGAGGAAAGTTCTCTATGAAACGAATTGAACAACGAAAAGTTCGATATCTCTTCAAGAAATGCATACAGTAAAAAATATTGCTCACTTTTTTTTTTTTGTCAGAATCACTTACGATGTGCATATTTTGCCCATATTCTCGAAAATACATTGTCGAAGTCAGGATATTTATCAAGTCGAAAAAAAAAGAAAAAAAAAATTCGGTTAAAGTTTAAAATAAATTTAAATCAAATATGCTCGCTTTATGCTTAGAAAGTTTTTAGGTTAAAACCTGCAAAGTGTTTTCGGCTCATGTATGTAACCTGTCTGGCCCAAGCTAGGCTCAGGCTTACATTTAAAAAAAATTTTGTCAGGCTCGGGCAGTGTCTCTTCCGGGCCGCGCCGGGCCCGGGCCGGGCCTCTACCGTGCTGCGTCGGGCCGGGCCTGGAAATTTCGGCCCGTGCAGCGCTCTACTCTGGACTACGCTGTCGGAACGGTGTAGACAGGGTGAGCCTTTCATTTAACCTTTTCGGCGCTGGGGTTTGGGACAGTGGTTTTTTTTTGTTTTTTTTTTTTATAATAAACACTGTTGGACCCAGTCCTATTGTGGTACGTGTTGCTTCTTTTTAGAGAAGCGATCCTTTGTGCGGCTGACTTTCGGACCCGCCCATAGCGGTGTTCTCGGAGAGAAAGCTGCGGGGTGTGGGAGTAGGCTTGGCGCCTCCCGAATAGAGACGCCGCTAAAGTCGTCGGTTACCAATACCTGGACCATCCCATGTGTATGAAAACAAGTCTGTCAAGCAGACGACTTGGAAGACTTGTTTCGTCGTGTGGTTACTAGCGCGATGCCAGGGTTAAACCATGTTCGTGCAGCATGGCAGACGAGAAAACCCGAATACCCTGGACTCGCGCTAATAGTGGCAAAATATGTTTTTTGTTCTTTTTTTTTTTTTTTTTTGTAGCGGCGGCGATAACGGACGAAGTAGAAATTTAAAATTGTTTTGCTGGCATACTTATGTAGCCTTGATACTAGTACGCCGTAACGAGGGACTTGTCTCTTCGCTGAAGATGCGAAATTTAGCCAGGGCAGTACAACTGCTAACCTGGGTTTTTTAACGTGAATTGCGCAGTAGCGATTACACGAGCGCGTGCCGGTACGAAACTCGTCCAGATTGAAACGGATGCAAACCCATAAGATTCTGCAACGCAAGCCTTCTCTCTACACTGCGGACTGAGACCCATTAGACCACTCCGCCACCGATCCCCCTTCCGAAATCTCAGCAAGGTGTCGCCTGTAAAGTTACCGCTGTAAAGCAATTGTTGTCGATGGCTCTGGAGTAGAGTGCCTCAATGTTGCTTGCTGGCTTCGCCTTGCAAGAGTGGCGAAATCCTTTGGGAGGGCAAGTGCCCGCTTTTCCCTACTGCGGCCACCAGTATGCCTCCTCCCTTCTGACAGACGGCGAAAGCAAACGCATACTTGATGGAATTTGTAACGCTGCGTGTTCTTGAGGTTGCCCGGTGCCTTTTCTCAAGTGGTAATGTTCAATGACAATAACAGCGTAATGCGCTCATAAAAAATTAAAGACAAGGTGAAGACTCCGTAAGCGGACGGAAGAGTTATCACCACTCTGTGAGGGCCACCCAGCAATATTTAGGCATTCTACTGTGGAGCCACTGCTGCCTTTTCAGCCTACACTGTTAGCAAGTCCTGTGTATATGGTGAGCAGTTGGGGTGAAAAGCACACTGTTTCCACAAATTACCATAAATTTACACGTTGAGTAATGGACAATTCGTTCAAAAATCATGCGAGGTTGTAAAAGACGTGTTTTGGTTCGGTCATACAAGCCTAACCGTGTAGTCCACCTGGAAAACATGCATCACCCCAGCGACGACCGCAGCATTGCCGGCTATCGAAGCACCGGAATGCTTAGGGGTACAGCTAGAAATGACCGTGGAGACAAATGCCGCGGAAAGAAGCATGTCTCGGAGACAGACATGCACCAAAAGCAATTATGCCATGTCGCGGGGCAAAGCTCGTGCTCACTGAGCTTCTCGCCTCGCTGCCATTGATTATGGTCGATGGCACTGCGGCTTCCCTCATGTCGCCCATGTTTGTATTTATTTTAGGGGTTCTGATAATAGTTTCTTACGCACCACGAATAAAGTTATGGGTCTAATTACTCGTTCTAAACGGTTAAAATGGATATAAAAAGCGTGTCCTCGATCTGAACACGTGACATTGCAGTTGGTTTCGTTTTGGCTTTAACCCTTCAACTGCAAGCGAAACGGCCTTGCAACACCAGGAGGGGGGGGAAGGTGCCGCCGTTTGCCATGCACCCTCCTCACAATTTACGGCGCTTCGTGATGGCTGCCATATTAAAACTTTATACCAGTGTTGCTGCATCTGTAGGTCATCTTTAAAGGGGCACTGACACCCCAAAGGTCGTATTCTTTTTTATTGTCTAAAACGATGCAAGTTGTAGTAATAGACATGCAAAAAAAAAGCGCATCGCGAAAAAAAATTTTCTTGTGCGCGCGCGCGCCTTTTTATTTTTGTTGTTTATATCTCCCGCGCTCACCTCCATGCTTCTTTTGATCGGTGACATCAAAAATCAGGAAATTTAGAAGCTTTGTAGGCGACATTTCTATAACATTTAATAACGGCAATCGTAAAACATGTTTTGTAATGCAATCGCGAACGCACTATGGCCTTTCTTTTTGAAATACCAAAAATCAGATTTCGGCGTGATGTCGCATCCTGGATTTGTATCCTCCCTCGGAAAACTTGGCGGCGCTCGAGCAGAGGATTATCGGCGAGTCAGGGAAGAAACCGGTTTTTTCCTGCGCCGGCACCCTTCTATCTCTCCGGCCTGCTCATCTCCTCCCCGCTTCAGGTCGCAGTAGCAACGGCGCTTTGCTTCATAGCGTGGAGCGGTGCTTCAAAAGAAAGTCGAGTCGCAGGAGACCGCAAAATTTGACTCACTACACTGGCGCGGATAGCGCGGGAACTTCAAATTCGGCATTTGGAAATTTTTTTTTTTTTTTTAATTCAGAAATACTGAATTCTTAAGTTTTGAATTTTGAGGGTAATGTCTTGGCATCATTTTCAATCGTTTCGGATAATAAAATAAAATATGATTTTGATGTATCAGTGCCCCTTTAAGTTAGAGCTGACAGAGAAAATCTGGTCACGGCACAACGCTGATGTGCATTGGAAGCTAGAGCCGGTTTGCTTTCGTTGCTTTTGTTTGGCCGGGGAAAATCTGGCAACAACGCATGGCGCCGCCAGTGTTTTGGTTTGACGGGACGCGAGGAAGTTAAGAGCTTCGCAGTTTGTGAGCACATAGCGAAGACGTGACCGGAGAAGTGCCCCTGTGATGTTCCCGGAAGACGGAAAGCATCATTCGTAATTGTCGTGTGTGCTTTGAAATCGGAGGGAGTCACAGGGTCCACGAGTGCGCAACCACAAGCCAAGGTTCACGACAGCGTTGCGTTGACTTCGGCGATCTCCTTCTGTTTGGTGCAACACGGCGATGTGACAAAGAGCCGAAACGATCGTGGTGTGTGATGCGGTGCTTGGAGGTAGAAACCTACACTAACACGCAGCTCAAATTGTTTGTTGTGGGGTTGAGGTTCAACGGGTTCAGTCCTGTCGTCATCAGCTGATCTGGTCCAGCTGGTCTGGGAGGACACAGTGAGCGCTTTTAAAAGTAAATCTTGCTTTGTTCCGTTTCAAAATGGGGGAGATTCCTAACGCATACTGTGAGTAAAAAGCTGCGAGCGTTTTCAACAAAATTAAGTCGTTTTAATTGAACAATGGACTTCGGATTGTTGTCCTAAATCTACCGTTTTTATGCTTCGTGTTGTCGGACTGCGTTTGCACAGCAACGCACACCACTCGAGTAGATGATTTGGTCCTGCAAACGACCGGTTATACAGAATTTCAGGGAAACGTAAATCGCCACCGATATTTTCCTGTAAATCTCATGTGAGCTTGTTGCGCTCATCATGCGGTGTGAATAAATTAGGGCAAGATTTTCTACTTGCCCACAGATGCATGAACTAAGACCATTTTTTACGTAGTGAACATAGTGCTTTTTTTTATTTTGGGAAGAGACGTTGGTGCATTTATTATGGTACAGTCACTTGAGAGTTGAGAAATTGGGGAGAGTGAGCAAGCTTTCCCAACTTTGTCCCTTTTCTCTCTGACACTGCCCCTTGTTTCAGTTTCAGTAGGCATGCCTACTAGCAGGTACAAACTGCTCTAAAACAGGTAAAAGACTGGTAAGACTGGAAGTCAGGACGGTGCGGACTCCGTGCTTCGCGATTTTCGCAAGGTGACTGGGTAAATGCTTTTGCGAGGTATGGAAAATATGCAAGATTTTGTTGTCAAAGTGTTGAAGATGTCCAACGTGTACTGAGGGCAAAAACTATGAGCGTTTTGCCTTGCTTTTACAACCGAAACCAGAGCAGCAAGATAACTGCCTTGCGTACACCAAAATGACGGAAGCAACAAGTTTCAACAGGTCGAGTACGTCGCCGCGGATGTGGGTGAGAAGGTGCACACTGTTTAAATGCTTGCAGTATCCACGAGTGCTACCAGAAAAACGACGTCATCAGAGGAGGAGCTCGCGCTTCAGCATAATGCAGTGCTACGGGCTCGTGAATTTTCAAAGTTCGGGGTAATGGCGGTATAAAAAATATTTAAAAAATGCATCAGAGCCTCATTAGTGATCACGAATAACACTGGTCCTAAACTCCCAAGCCCCGCCGCTCCACTCGACACCGACACGACATACGACAACAAACTGCATCAAAACGCCCCAAAAGTGAAGGCGTCTGCTCCCGTACGCATACTGCAACAAACGGAAGTGAAGTGTTGGGCTGATGTCTTTCGCAAGAATATATAAAAAAATGCATTGTGCAAGAATAATTTCCATTGATTATTGAATACATAATGATAAAATCTCAATAATTTGTTTCTCTGTCTGATTCAAGCTAGTCAGACCGCTCATAACACTGGTCGAGCATGAAAATAACGAAACTTTGAACTTTTTCGTGGCCGGTTTAAGATTTATCGTTAATACGTCGTTATTTTTTGCAACAAACTAACGTTATAGATTTTGCCTCCATACTTTTTAAATGTAAACAGTTCTTACATACGGCTGTTAATTGTGCCATGTTTTGTGTCTTCTGCAAATCTGTAACAGCCAACGACCAAAGAGCTCCCCCGCACATGTCAAGCTTATATACGTCGCGGGGAGAAATGAATATCGAGTAGGAAGCGTCTGGCGCAGTGTCGTTTATAGTGTTTGTGTATATGTGGTGCTCGTGCTGTCTGCGATGCAATGTATCTAGGGTTGTGATTGTTCGCAGCGTACAAACAGACGCGCTTTGTGTTTTTTATAGGCTGCTATAAAGCTCACTACGTGGTGCAAGTTACCGCCCGACTCCAAATAGTTTGCACGAGTTATTTATCCATGTAAGTTCAGCATTAGTTTTCCTG